CCCCAAAACCCCAAAACCCCAAAACCCCAAAACCCCAATTTTCCTCGCATATATTGAAACTATAAAAGCCTGGCTACTCGATTTTTAATAATTAATAAATTTCAATATGGATAATCCGATTGCAATGTTAAGAAGGGTCCTTGACCCTGATCACGTGCCACAGATCCCAGTGGACGCATACCCAGAAGACCAAGAGTTGGTCAGGATGTACCAGAATGGAGACATGTATTATTTTGAAAATCTTAGGGATACAGATGACCAAACTTTTCGCCAAAACAGTAAGTCAAAATTCTTTACCAAGAGAATATGATACGTAACTTCTTGTGACTTAGGAGCTATTCAAAGCAGGTTTAAGCAGTATACAAAAGATTATTTATAGTAGCGCCTTTACTTGTTATTTTCTGATACCATTACGTGGGAAAAGTACAGGTTTTGTAAATTAATCATCCGTACTTAAAATAGGTTGGTGACAAGGATTCTTTCCTCCAATTTCTGATTTAAAATACCAGGTTCTAGATTAATTTGAATTTTGTATAAAATTTCAGACTTTTACTTCTTCTACTATCAACTTCCTCTACTATCCTGGATGCTCTCCAAAAAATTAGCTATGGTAGAAATCTTCTGACGTTTTGTACTTCTAACAACTTTTCGGCCCGATTCTGAACATTTTCACTAAAAGATCTTCTAATTGTTTTATAGTCGAGGAGCCGTACAATATTGGGCCAGAGATGATCTCTCATTTCGAGACTGACCCAGATCATCTAGAAGGACCTGCTGACTACCCAGAAGTATACCGTCACGACTGTAGTAATACAAGAGTTATTCAAGAGTACAAAGCCATGACTGGAGAAATGGGCATGCGACTAGCAGAAGCCATTGATTCCCTCGATATAGTAGACTCTAAGTATTCAGTCAATACTTTCGGCTTCCTGATGTACTATCTCAGTAACTTCTTTGCCTATAAACGGAGCCAATTTGGTGAGAAAATTTCACCCAAACTTTTCAACCAGAAAGAACTTGCTGAAAAATTCAAGAATTCTACTCAGATTTTTAAGAAAGTGACTCAATTTGTAAGTCGAGGCTTCTTTTGGGTTCTCCTTCAAGGGAATTTATGTTAATTGTTGTGTAGGTAAAGGACCTCCCAGATTTTAAAACTCTGCAACAAGAGATAGTCAAAATCTACGAGAAGGATAAGCAGTAAGTACTCTCCTCCTTGTTAAGCCGTTGGTGGCTGAGCATGATTCATTTTTACTACAGAGAAGCGGCAAAATACAAAAATGATTTTATCAGTAGGTCCTTGCTGAGAATTAATGAGTAAGATATTAGAAGCGGTTAAATTTAAAATCTTAAATTTGAATTCTTGTACTTTTGTCATTCTGGAATTTTTATCAATGATTCAAAACAAAAGTTCACTAAAATCTTCTATCAAAGAATCAAAAATTCTGAAATTTCGGTGGAGATTTTCTGCAACTGCTTCTTCAAAGCACTTGATTGAGAGGGTTTAAAGCTGGAATGATTTGCTTACAGTTTGTCTATAGCCATGCGTATGAATTGTTGTGCATCAAGATAATCCTTGACTGTTACTACCTGTACTACACCTATATTGAAGGGATTCAAAGCAAAATTCTCAGAAAGAAAGTTTTGCCACTACAGCTGAAATTTTACAAAATAATTGATAAAATTGACCCAAATTTGATATGAGACATAAACGAAATTTTCACTAGAATGTCTACTATATCTCTTGCAAAGCAACTGCGAACCTTAGGATGCCTCTACTTCGCCAAGCCGGCGGATATTAAGGACATGTACTACTCAAAATTGCAGAAAGAGTTGAGGAAGCTCAAGAAAGCTCAGAAAGAGTTCAGTGTTGCCCAGGTATACTCTTAGACCACCAGCAATTCCTAACTATAAATAGCATTAAAACCCCTTAAAAGGATGTGAATGCCAATTTATAACTGAAGCCTTCAGAATTCTTCCATATAATATTAATATTTTCATAACCTTCAGGAAGCTATTCAAAAGTGTTCAACCAAGCATCCATCATCAGGGGTTTTGGGGTTTTGGGGTTTTGGGG